CCTCCTCAAAAACCTCCCCGCTCTGCCTTCCTCCGTGAGCAAGAGCGTTTCGTGTGAGAGAATCTGTGTTTGCAGGTGAGCGTCCTATAGTTAGTGTAACTAAGTTGATGGTTTATATTTAAAAAGTTCAAACAAAACGGCATCGAAAAGATTGACCAACGGGAGAAACCCTATCTGTGGCCGTTGGTCTGTGTCATCCATAAAGATTTTACCATCCTGGGCAGACAGGACGTATCACTTTCCTTATTGTGCACACTCAGTTATAGCGGAGACGAATGAAGCGGATATGATGAAAAGACGACCTGAATGAAGTGTCCGGTTAGCTTGAATCATTTTGTGGATTTCTCTGTAGATCCTGCTTAAAATGTCTTCTGCTGATATCATCCCTGTGCACTGTTGCCGTTCTTCTCCTGATCCGCCGTTGATGTTGTTAATCTGAAAGAAAAAAAGCGGATGTGGTCATTATACATCAGCGACTTCCACTTTCTGCTGACTCGCAGACATTAGGACATGATGATCCAGCACTGGAGCTACACTGGTCTCCATTGTGTGAGGCAGGAAAACAACAACGTGAGCGATTCCCCGAGTCTCAGAGTGTCTAATTAGTTAATACCTTTTTCTACCCAGTGTGTGAGAAGCTGTTGTGTTCAGACTCACGATGTCTCATTTCAGAGGTGACGTAGTTTCTAACATTTTCATACTTTAAACTACAATCACCATTTTCAATTTCTCTATCTCTGGAGACAGAGATCCAGATGTTGGATCCAGATTTTTAGAATCTAAATCTGTTAGAACCCAGAATTTTTTTGTGGAAGACCAAATCTCAAAACTTCAAAACCTGCACCTGTAAAGTTTACATTTTTAAATACGGCTGATGAAAATGGACTAATCCGTACTTCCCCTGTCTTGAAGTGGAATATTTATCCTCATTCTGGGATTTGAACTTGTGACCGCTCTCGACCATTGACTGGGCTGCTGTGAGCGTCGGTCTCTGGGTAAACAGGGCAGTAATAGAAACTGCATGACTGAGTGAGTGTTTTCCACCTCAGCTCTGCAGCATGTTTCCCAAAAGTAGCTTTTTTAAATTCAGTTTTGCTCAGAAATAAATCTGTATTTGTTTTAAAATTCTAAAATTATTAATTTGAATAGTTGTACTTATTATCAGTAGGTGTTTAAACACGTGAACAGGAACATCAGTGCTAGCGTTAGATAGGTTGGAGACAGTGGTTTATCACATAATAAACAATATTTGAGGTCGAACTGGTTGCAACCTGTTGGTCATACTACCAGCCGCATCCATGTTAGCAGATGGGACATGGACCAAACAAAAACTGTGTTAAAGTCACGTTAAGTAATTATTTTTTTCAAAGAAATTGAGAAAATGTTTGTTAATTAGCAGGATAATGTGTAAATTGTGAGATGGGAAGTTTTGCAATATTTTCATTGATATTTCAGCTTCTCTTTTTTGTACGATGGGAGGAAGCGGAGACGTGTCATCCATCTTTGTATGAAGTCTATGGACATGGCGACGACCTCCTCCAGTGACTACGTTCACAGTTCATCTTTGAGCGATGCCGGCCCTCAGTTGTCAGATTCATATTTATGATCTGCTTCATCTCCACCACAGAAAAGTGTCAAGTAAATCTGATCAGGCAGTTTCGGCTCAGAGGGAATGTTTCTGCTGCGGGTTGTAATGTTTTACGTCGGACGCCAGTGATTTGTGTTTGACTTGCGTCTCCCTGTTAGGGGGTTTTTACTGTCGGCAGTTATGGAATATGTCTTGCACGCCCACACACAGACACACACACTTGTTGTGTCCTCGCTGTGAGTTCATTTACATCTGTGTGTCAGTTGTGCGTCTTTATTCTGCGATACGCTTCCGATATATCAACACGATTCATTGTTGAGTGCCTCCCTCCGGTTCACTGGACATCGCCCCGCTCGGACCATGTTTACGCTTCATGTCAGAGTCTTGGTAGATTGGTTTGAACCCAGCTGCCCTTTTCACATCCAGCAACTGGGGGTTGAACGTTTCCCAGCGTCCGTGCCACCGACGCCCCCCAACACACATGCACGGTGATGTGAGTGGTTGTGTTATCTCAGGGAATCTTTGGTCCAGTTCCCTTTCACATCTCCGCCTGCCCTCAGTGCATGTTCCTATCAAACATATCACATGGAACAGAAGGAAACACAAGCGATGGCGCCATGTTTGCCCCGAACAACCAGATTACTTTGGAGCGCCCTGTAAACCCTCTGATGTCAGTCACAGCATCACGTCAGTTTATTTGTCTCTTGTGCTCTTTATGTGTAATTTCATGATATCAGGCGATCACACAGGGATTGTCTCTGTTCGGCTCCACGCTGAGGTCACGTGATGAAGTCAGAGACTGGGAGAGCATGTGATGAGGCTGTAATCGTGTAGAGACTGGACGTTTCCTGCTTCAGTCTGTGGATATTTACATTTTTAAAATAGTTTTCTTCATTAGATCTTAGAAAAATGGAGGGAAAATGAATAATGGACGTTTATTAATTTGTTTTATTTCTATACTTCTATTTAGGGTCTATGTTTTAGTTGTTGTTTATACTGTGGTACACATATTTGCATATTTCTTCAGTTTATATTGGAGTTCAATCACAGATCTTTACATGACAAAGAAATGTAACTTGATATTTAACCCCAAACTTTAAAAACACAATACAATACTAGAAAACTAAAATATATTTCACGTGAAATATAAACATAAATTCAAATCTTTTTATTATTTTTTTTCATATCCGCAAACCTAAATGGTGAATTATTAAAACGTTTAAAAATATTAATATTCCACATTGAGCATAAAAACTTTCACCCAAGATGAACCGAGTGGCCGCATGTATAAACAGTCATGTTCCAGCTAATTCAACCATGTCACCCAATAGAGCTCGTACCTCCGCCGAGTACAAGACAAGCTCAGATGAAAACATAACCTAAGGTCATAAGGTTGACCCACGAAACCAGCCGTCTGAGGGTTTGCGTTACGGTGGCCTGGGATGGAGTCAGATCCCTGTGTCTGGAATAGATGAAGTGAATGAAAACATTCACAACTCGTCTCACATTCTGCATTAATCGCATTTTAATTTGCATTATAAGCTGTAACGGATGCGAGTAGAGCGAAAGAAGCGAAACTCAACTCTTTGTTCTCCACTGAAAACCGAGGCTCTGTCGCTCTCTGTGGTTTGAGCAGCGCGTGAAACGGAGCCTGACATCAGATGACAAAGGAGTGAGAGTCGTCAGCCCCGACCGAATCATCGATTCTGAACAATATTTAAACACCAGGGTCTGACTGTCGTACTTTATTTACGGTCTGTACATCTAATATGAGCATAAAGAGTCGAAAGTAATATAATGATTATGTAAATTAACAGAGACACTCACCTCTATATATATTAAATGTATTTTAAGAACAGAGATTTGCGAAGACGAACAGTTTCTAATGTATCAGCACATCGTCTCCTGCTGTCAGTGTTTCCTCGTGGAGACGGCGATGGATCTTGTTTTGTCGTGGGAGCTGTCGATTTTGTGGCTCGGTGACCTTTAACGTGGCCTAAAGGTCACCGACATGAGCTGCGTGAAGCTCCTCCGGTCGGACACATGGAGACTTCCTGACCAGCTGAGAGAGGACAGGAGACGTTCTCTATTTACAATTTCAGCCACTTGACTCCACTCGCACACGTTTTCCATTTATACCACTGCTGAGTGGTTTCTGAGAAAGATTTAATTAGAAATGATTAGAGACGACACGTAGTAATGTTATAAAACAAAATCAAAACCATTCATTTTCTTTTTTTTTTTTTTTATCCCTGAACTAAAAGCGACTCGGTCTCAATCTGCCTTCATGGCGACAGTGACTCACTTTATTTCAGGTGTGAATCTGAGACATACATTACTTTAAAGACATTAAGCTGCCGTTTCAATAAACTGAAGACACACACACTCACACACGCACGCACACACACACACACACACACACACACACACAACCCACCACAGTTCACTTTTAAATAATCACTTTCCTTCGTTTTGTCGGAACAAGACCCAGAGAAAACACAGACATGGTGTATAATTTCAAAGTAAAACAGGAAATAATCAAATTAAAGTACATGTCGAGAAGTCCCAAAAACTTTTGCAAAGTTATTCAAAGGTTTAACAACATTTTAGAATTCACGTCTACCCACGATTGTGCTGTTTAATTTTTTACCTCCTTCCTGTTTTATTACTGTCAACCACACGCACACACACACACACACACACACACACACACACACACACACACACAGCAAACAGCAAACAGTTTCCTGCACCAGCATAACTGGAGGCTGATCCGCTCTGTACTTATTAACTGATAAGAGTGTGTGTGTGTGTGTGTGTGTGTCTAGAGTTAGTTTACATTAGTCTGACTCCACCCTCTCACTCACAAAAGCAGAGAGAAGCAGAGGAGGAACAAGCTGCATGCGAACGTCCGGAGGTAACTTAACTAACCAGCGATCAACTAGCCGCTACATTTTGAAACCGGTTAACTTGTTTGTCATTCGACCTTTTAGTTTGTTTACTCATTCGTTATGGAATTAACTGTGGTTGTCAGTGAGTTAGTGGGTTAAATAATCCTCCAGCCAGTTAATCAGCTGGTCAGTTGGTTTGACAGTTAGTGAGTCAATCAGTCATTCAGATGTAAGTCAGTTAGTTCACCAGTCAGTTCCTCGACCAGTTCAGTCAGTTGTTTTTGCTGCTGGTTGGTTGGTTAGTTAGTGTTTGAGTTGGTTAGTGAAGCACATTTATTCAGTTTCTTACTGGAGTGATGTTAACAAGTTAACCACCAAGACAACAAACATTAAGTCAGAGTCACCCGTCCCTGCAGCCAGTCAGCTGGTCGGTGAGGGGAGTGACTTCCTCTGTGCTCCGCTGCCTCCAGCTGAACTAGTCATCCACTCATCCAGTGACCCAGCCTCAGTCCGTCATTCATTCACACGCTGGCTGGGTGTGGATGCAGGGCTGCTGGTCAGCTGTCGTTCTCCCTCAGGATCTCACACTGTTGATTCAACAGCGGAGCCACTGAGAGGTAAGCAGCTCGGAGAATCAGCAGGATGTTTGTTTGGTCTGTTTGTCCAGTTGCAGCTCAGGTTTGTGTGCGACAGGCTGCAGAGACAGAGACAGAGGGTTCAGTGGACGACAGGAGTTTATAGTCGGGTATCTGAGGGATGTGATCGCACCCTTTCCTTCAAGCCGGTCGTGAACTGTCTCTCATGCTCGGTCTCATGACGGTGGTGATGATCTGAGGGAGAGTCAGAGGCTGATTAGAAAACAGGGCATCGGGTTTAAAAACCTTTTATTGAGCGTCATCTGAAACGAGTTCCAGGAGAAGTCACACTCACATTATTTAGATAATTAATTCTGCATTAAATGGACAAACATCTCCTGAAATGATAAATGTGGCTTTGTGCTTTAGGAGAGAAAATGACAACCCATTTTAAAGTGCATCACTTTTTGAAACGGCTCAGACGAAAGTAAAAACACGTTAGAACTCGATCTGTGACGAGCAGGCGGTTAATGTGAGGTGTTGAGGGAGGATGATGCAAAGTTCCTGCTCTGACGGCAAATGTTTGAAACTTGTGTGTTTTCTTTTGAAACAGATTTTGAGACAGTAAAGTGGCCAAAAGCTGTTTTCAACTTGTTTATCTATGTTCATTTCTTTTTCATTTTTATAAGAAAAGATTATTTTATTTTGGGAAGTGAAAGAACCCCAAAGCCCCCTCCTGGTGACGGCCCTGCGGTGAACGGTGAATGTGCGACCAACCACTGGTTCCATTGTTTGTTCAACAGCAACTTGAAAAAATGTTTTATTTAATTTTTCATTCAGGTTTTAACTTTAATATAAATAATGTTAATGTGTAAATACAGTAGTTACGTTGTGATGTCACTACGATGTAAATGGTCGTAACACCTAATTGAGAATTATTTGCTACCTAGGCTCTGGCTGGCTAGCTTGTTAGCAGTTAGCTCCGCAGCAGAGACTGTGATGGACGACACGACGGCTCCCTGAAAGTGAAACCAAAGCATCTCAGTCGCCTCCTGGTGGCTGTCTGCAGTATAGGTCATGAATCCAGCCTCCTCTATGTTAGCAGATGGGACAAACCGAAAACATTTTTTTTTCTAAAAGATAGTTTCTGTCATTTTAGGTGTCGGTCTTAAGAGGAAGTGGAGAACAGTCGTCCGTCAGCTCTGCTGCTGCAAATACTCTACCCAGGATCAAATGTGTATTAATCCTCCTCTGGAAATAATCCGTATCAAGTGCCCGTCTTTTTCAAAAGCATTTTTAAAGATTGGTTGTTTTCATGTGGAACCTGGTGTCAGGGCAGAGAAGTCAAGAAGTCTAGATGGACAAACTACCCATTGTCTTGATCCTCTCGATGGATTTCTCAACAGTAAAAAGAATTTTAGAGAACAATCAGTAGCATTTTTCAGTGAATATCAAGTTTTTTCTGTCAAAGACAAAATCTAAGAAGTTAATTCACTGTCTTTTGTGTAGAGACGTCAACTCGCTGCTGTTGGAGTTTGAAGCTAACTGAAGATTTAAAGTGGAATTTGTTCTGCAGTCAGATTGAGGATCTTCCATGTTTGGAGTGTTTTGTTCTCATCCAGAGAAAACACACAAACTCTCTCTCGTTTTATTTGACTAGTGAACTGAACGTCTGAAACTTCATGAGAGGAGCTTCTTGAACTTAGCGGAACCCACGAGCTTTGTTTGAACAACATTATCCTGAAACTAGTTTGACTGCAGAGGTGCGGGGGGGGGGGGGACTGTGTTTAACTGCAGAGTCACTGGATGAGACAGAAAGTGCTGATGATAAACTGATAAATATCTCGTCCTCCTCCTCACGTATCTGAGTTGTTTCCTCTTTCATGATTTATAACACAACTGAGTTTATGGTAAATATTTGACTTGAGCATTTTACAATAACGTTAAAAACACAGGCTCCATTTTGAAAATAAAAATCACATGAGAGTGTGGGTGTTCGGTTTGAATCTCCCTGTGGGAATGAGAATGTGGCGTCCTGCTCTCGGGACTAAAGGGAAATGTCAAACCTGAACCGAGGATTTGTTAGACTTTGCAGTTACACCAACTTCTTCAAGGATAACAGTTTCGTGACTAAATCTAAATTAGCTGCACATGTCTAATTTTATTGGTTGCAAAGGTTGATGGATTTCTAGCAGAAAACTGAATAACATCTTTAACTCCTCACTATCAAAATAAAGCCAGAATCTCCTGGATACAAACCAAACTCAGAAATATGAACACGTGAACAAACACCAGCGTGATAAGAACTACCTTAAAAGACAGAAACTATAATTGAGACCCAATTTTTGTCTTTTCAAACTTTAGTTTTGAGTTTAAGGGGTTTATGATCTATACTGCAGCCAGACACAAGGGGGCGATCAAGGTGCTTTGGCTTCATAGAGTACACAGCGCAACTCTTCTGAATTTGTCACATTTTCTAAATGTGTTTTAAAAACTATTTCATTAGAACAGAAGCAAAATATTGAGTAAAATTGGTATTTTAAGGCTTTTGGGATTTTAAATTAAAACTCTTTGCTGCAGTAAAGCTGAATTTCTTATGTGGTGAAATTGGATCAGTTCCTCTGCCTTAGGCACAGAGTCCACGTGGGACTGTGGTGGATTTCCACTCATTTAACTGACTCATTTGTAATAAAGCAGCAGGATAAAGAGCGGAGGTTTACATCTTTGGAAGGATTTTTCTCTCCATTAAAAATCTCTGGGTATGTGTTTGGATAAAATATATATTTTCGTTTGTTTTTTCTTCCAAATTCCAAATAAAAATACCGTAATTTGAATCGTGTATTTATCATACACCTTGAATAAGAAGTAAGAAAACTGGAATGTCATCCAGTAGAGCGTCCACCTCCACCAACATTCAGCAGCCTCTCTCTGCTGAATGTTGGTGAATGTCCCTTGAGTGTTTGAAACTCCTCGGCACTAGTTTGATGATCAGTTGCCAACGACCAGCGGCTGTTGTCTTCAGTTGTGTAGCTTAGCATCAACTGGTGTTTTGCTCTTTTAATCACAAGACACAGTCTGATAAAGAAGGCATGTGTCACCATTTTTTTAATATAATAACCCTCGGTGAAGTTCCACATGCTTCTGGAAATATAACAACATATAACTCAAAGTTCACTTGACCTCTGGGCCTTAAACACGATCAGAGAGGGAAACCCTTAGTTGGATTAAGAGGCGGAAAACCAGACGGTGATAAATTAGAGTTGGAGAGTTTCTACACGTCTCTGAAGGTTGAATGTTCAGTGAATCTGCTTTAGGACCCAGCGGACATCAGGAGTAGGGCGGGCTCGGCTCCGGCTGATAATGATGTGTGTTTCTCTCGTGTCCTGAGGCGAACATCGGGATCGCAAAATGAAGTCAGCTGACTGGTCACGTGACCTCTGGCTCGATGAGGCCAAGTGTGCTGAGGGAGAAGCAGAGAAGAGATGAGGATTTAAGAAGAGGCGAGTTAACGATGGAAGAAACGATGGAAATGAGTTTAACAAATAAAGACTTGATTGGAACTAATCCTACACTAATGTTGTAAATGATGACTGACTGTATTCAGCTGTAACAGGCTCCAGGCTCCTGGGTTTGTAAATATTGGCTCATTGTTATGAAGGAACAGCTGAACTGAAGAGGAGCCGTTGATATTACACCAGTTCAAGATCGTGGAAGAATCTTCAGTCCATGGTTTTAGCTCCGTCTCACGTCCTTCGCTCATTGTCTCTTGAGTGTGTTAACTGTAACCGAGTTAAAGGTGGAGTCATGAGACCAGCAGGTTGCAGCACAACAATGTTCAGTTGTGTGTCTCCACATTAGTTTGAATTCCACGGTGTTTCCTTTTGATTTGTATTTGATTAAGTTTCATGTGGCCGGGCGTAATGGGATTTGGCGCTTCCACTTGAAAAGGTTTCCGATCGGAATTTAAAGATTGTCGGTCAAAGTGTGAACTGTCGGTGACTCGGTTGTGTTTTTCTGTTTGGCGTTAATGTTGCCGTCTGTTTGGTTGAATCTCTCCCAGCAAGTCCAACTTTCACCCACTCTACGAAGTGAGGATTCATTTCCTGCAGGATGGATTTTACCTGGTGATCCTTTTACCGCCAGCAGCAAATAAATCTGCCTTCAAACTAATGATATTCACATCAGCCGCAGTTCTCCTTCAAGGCTAATTAGCAAATCTTACCACACTTTCTGTTGGAATCAGAACCTTCAACCTTCTGAATTGGCAGCTGATTGTTCTGTGCTTTAATAAACGATGATCCCTCCTTGTCAAACATTTATAATAACAAACCTCTTCTACCTCTTTGTATTATTATTTTATATCCACGCTGACCTTTGAGATCCAGCTGTCTGTACAGATGTTAGCCCACCTGCTGCCAGGTGTTTCATATTCTATCTGATCAGACTCTGTGGTTACGAGATTAATCCAAACTAACACTGGTAAGAATTTACCCTGAAGAAACATCGACACACGAGTCCAGCGATGTTTGGATAAAAGAAATGAGAATAAATGAAAGTAGCAGCAAGTGTCACTGTCGTCTCAAATTCTGCCAAGTGGGTCTGAGATGGAGAAAGGTTCGGGACAGTCTGAGGGGTAAACCTGGAGGACGTCTGGACAAATGAGATCATCAAGGGCCGGCCTCCGTCCCAGCGGTTATTGATCTTTGGCTCTGGGCGATGGATTGGTAACGACATCAAGGGCCGTCAGCAGCGTCCACAGAACAGCTGCAGCAAATTGGTTTGTCGTCTGATTTGGTTAAAACGTTTCACGAGGCCACGACAGTCAAACACAAAGGTCACTGACAAATGTCGCCCGACCTTTTAACAGAAGCTTTTGAGCAACAGTTTGTGGGGACATCTGAAAACACACAACTCATCATTTATCCAACCTCACAGCCTTTATGAGAGCAAAATATCTATGTACTCTCTGTAGGTGAGTTTAAAGTTCTGACACTGGGAACAAATGTCCCCTCAGCAGATTGAAGAATTGTTTACCATTCACA